GATCAGGGAAAGCAGCTCCCCAACCCTTGCCTTTACCCACAATCCTAGACATTAACAAATAGTTGGGAGAAAGGGTTTTCTGAAGGAGGTGAATATATGTTGAAGTACTTGGCTCTGTTTTTCTGCATTTTAGCTTCATATTTATTTTACTAATTCATGCAGAAAGAGATTTTCCTTTCCTCCTCTGTACATGAACATTCATGTACAGAGTATCTGAAAGTGAGTATCTTAGGGTTTAGGTTTTGTTTTCTTTAACTGCCAAAGCTTGAGGATATAAATACATTGTGAAAATAATCTATAATAAAGTAAACAATGAAAAAAATATTTTTCTTTTTCCCTCTGATGTTCGTTTTTTAAAAACAAACCTAATCTTAACCTAATCGTGTTATCACTTTGTCATATTTCTCTCTTCTTTTCATGGTTACCTTCATTTTCTTACTACCTACCTACTTCATAACTTGACATAATCTGGCTTTCACTCTACTATTCTACTGAACAGTGTTTTAATGGGAAGAAAATTATGAATTACCTGATTCAGACCATTCATTTGTAAAATATGAAAACCTGAGGTTTTAAGTGGCTTGGATAAAGCAGAGACAGCAAATATTTAGCACACAGGTGGCCATTTACCATTCCCTGCCCATGTCAGACATTGATAATCAATTTTGTACTCCATCATTTCCACTGAGCCCTCAGAGTCCCTCTCAGTAGAGTCTGTAGGCAGCCAATGCTGATCATTGCAGCACTGATACACGATCTGAAATCTTTGCCATCCCAGGCCCATAATCACTTGTAAGGCTATGACTCTTAATCATAACGCTAAATCAAGGGCAGTTACAAGGATCATGCTTAATTGAGGGCCAGGTGAGTAGAATAAATAGTAAATATTACAAGAATACAGAGAAGGAAAGCAAAGGCTTTCCCATATTGAGCTGGGTCTTGTGTGAACAGAATTTAAATACTTAGAGAATGAGGAGGAGAGAATTCTTTGAGGGGAAACCATGAGCAGAGGCATGGATGACTGCTCAGAGCCAAGCATATATGAGTTTGGCTAGGACAGATGCTTCAAATGATAAATAGTAGGGAAGATGTTGCAAAGGTTAATTGGGGTCAATAGTTAGAGATATTAAGGATTCCACTGAGAAGTTAAGATTTTATCCTGTGGATTCAAATCATGAAAATTTTGAGCAAGGGAATGATTTAACCAAATCAACATTTTAGACAGTGTTAGTTGTTAGGTGCCATCAAGTCGATTCTGACTCCTAGCAACCCTGTGTACAAGAGAACAAAACACTGCCCAGTCTTAGACCATCCTCACGGTCATTGATGTTTGAGCCTACTGTGTCATTCCATGTCATTGAGAGTCTTCCTCTTTTTTGCTGACCCTCTACTTTACCAAGCATGATGTCCTCCTCCAGAGACTGGTTCCTCCTGATAACGTGTCCAAAGTAAGTGAAATGAAGTATCACTATCCTTGTTTCAAAGGAGAATTCTGGCTGTACTTCTTCAAAGACAGATTTGTCCATTCTTTTGGCAATCCATGATATATTTAATATTCTTCACTAATACTATGATCCAAAGCATCAATTCTTCTTTGTTGTTGTTGTTATGTGCTGTCGAGTTGCCCCCAACTCATAACGAACCCTTCTTGGATTTCCGAGGCGGTATCACTACAGAAGTAGATTGCCCAACCTTCCTTCCGAGGAGTGGCTGGTGGGTTTGACTTCTGGTTAGTAGTCAAGTGCCTTTGGCACTATGCTACCGGAGCTCCTAATTCTTCTTTAGTCTTCCTTATTTGTTGTCCAGCTTTTACCTGCTTATGAGATGATTGAAAAGACCATGACTTACTAGAGAGATACAAATCAAAACAATGAGATATCACCTCACCCCAGCAATAATAACAAAGTTCAGAAAGACAGAAAACAACATATGCTGGTGAGGGTGTGAAGAGATTGGAACTCTCATACACCATTGGTGGGAATGAAAAATGGTATAACCATTGTGGAAAACAGTATGCTGCTTCCCTAAAAAGTTGAGAATAGAAATACCATTTTATCCAGCAATCCCATCCTAAAGAAGTGAGACCCAGAACACAAATAGATACATGCACACCCATGTTTATTGAAGCACTAGTCACAATAGCAAAGAGATGGAAACAACCTATGTGCCCATCAGTAGATGAATGGATAACCAAACTATGGTACATACACACAACGGAATACTATGCAATATAACACCTCATAACGTGGCTGAACTTGAAGGACATTATGCTAAGTGAAATGAGTCAATCACAGAAGGACAAATACTGTATGAGGCCACTACTATAAAAAGTCAAGGAAAGGTTTACATATGGAAGGAAATATTCTTTGTTGGTTACCAGCATTGGAAGAAGAGGGGAGGGAAATTTGCTAGCTAGTTAAGAGACACATAATGAATTAGATGAAGGGAAATCCAGTATACCAAAAGTGGGTGACCAGGAAAAGGAAGACACAGAAAGGTACCGACAACAAGGTAAATACTATTACATACGCAATACTGCTTTATCAGTAATGATAAACATTAATCTACGAGTGGATACGTAGGTAGATAGGCAAGATGATCAGGTATGGGTAGGCAAGTGGGAATATACCCATGAGCGTATATGGGTTTGGCAGATGATCTTTCTACATACGTAACTGTATGTGCTATAAAAATCTTCACATATATAATAGAGCTTACAGGAGACAGAGTTATGATAACTTCTTAGCCGTAATCAAACACCTTGAGTGAGTGAATCTCTGGGTCTGTGGGCTCAGGACCATGATTGTGGGGGACATCAAGCTCAAGTGGCACAACATAGTACACAAAAACACTGTTCTCTGTCCTACCTTGGTGACTGACAACTGGGCTTTTAAAAGCTTGCAAGCAGCTATCTAAGATCCAACTATTGGTCTCTCGTCTGGAGCGAAGAGGAGTGAAGAAAATCAAGATGCCTGAAAATAATTAGTCCAAGGGGCTAGTAGACATGCAGACCTCAGCCTACATGACCCTGAGGCCAGAAGAACTAGGTGGTGCCTGCTACCATTGTCAGCCTCTTGGAGAGGAATCAAAATTGGAGATCCTGGATAGAGTGGGAGAAAAATGAAGAACAAAATTCAAAATCATGAAAAAGACCAGGCTTACTGGTCTGATAGAGACTGGTGGCCCCAAGACTGTGGCCATAAGTCACCCTTTGGGACTGGAATTGAACTCATTCCTGTGGCTTAACTTTCAGCCCAACGATAGCCAGGCTTACAATGTGAATGATAATACCAGGGAGGTGCACTCCTTAGAACAATCAACCGTGGGAGAGCACAAGGAGAGCACTTGGGCAGGAAGAAAGCTCAGAAGGCAGGAATCCATAGGAAAGAAGGGCACAGGGAAAAGGTAACCCCTGGGAAGAAGTGGGAAAAGATCTCTTACATTATGGGGATTGTAATCAATGTCATGAAACAAAACGTGTGTGCACTGCTGAATGGAAAACCAATTTGCTTTGTAAACTTTCACCCAAATCACAATGAAAAGTTTACAAATAAGTAAATAAACACCATGGCTTGTGTCAGGCTCATCTTAGTTCTCAAAGTGACATCTTTGTTTTTCAACACTTTAAAGAGGTCTAGCAGATTTGTACAGTGCAATAGTACATCATTCCCATTCTTGACTACTGCTTCCGTCAGTGTTGATTTTAATAGAATAATTTGCTCAATAATATGCAGAAAGAATTCATGGGAAGAACAGTGAAACATGTTAGGAAGTTTTTCCATTTCCAGGCCTGAGGAGGTAGTGGTTTGTTCTTAAGGAAGTACCAGAGGGAAACAAGAGAGAAAATGTCAAAGATGCCATGAAAAAGAAGACATAGAATTTGGTGGCCTCAGTCTCTGAGTGGTTAATGTGCTTGGCTGTTAACCCAAAGGTTGGAGGTTCGTGTCCACCCAGAGTTGCCTTGGAAGAAAGGCCTGGGGATCATCTGAAAAATTAGCCATTGAAAGCCTTATGAAGCATGGTCGTACTCTGACATACATGCAGTTTCCATGGGAGGTTGGAATCTACTAGATAGCAACTGCTTTGTACTGGTCAATTGTTGTGGAGAGGATAGTGGAAGAAAGAAAAATAAAAATGGTCAAAAGATTTCACCGAGGTATTATGCTGGTGAATCATGATACCTTTGAACTAAGCAAAGAAGTCAAGAGGAGGAGCTAGTTTTGTAGAAAAGAAGATCCCTGTTTAGGTTCTGGATTTTTTTAAATCTCACAATGAAAATGTAATGCCTTCAGTTTTTATCTGCCTTGAAGCTGGTGGCATAGTGCCTAAGGCACTTGACTGCCAACCAGAAGGCTGGCGGTTCAAACCCACCAGCCACTCATCAGAAGGAAGATGGGGCAATCTGCTTCCATAGTGATACTGCCTCGAAAACCCAAGGAGAGGTCACTATGAGTCATATTCGAATTGAGGGCCGTGAGTTTGTTTTGGTTTGGGATTTGAAGCTACCATAATTTACTGTAAATATCAGGACACATCTGTGGGACTTTGCAATTCAGCTTTGGCATCATACATCACACTCTGCAAAGGCTAGTCATCTGGGTGTTTTGTTTTTTCATTTAGTTCTTTCTTTTATTACTAAGTTGTTACAGTCATTAGTGGAGGAGCTTGGATGGTGGAAGTGGTTTATGATTGGCTGCTATCCAAAAGTTTGGCAGTTTGAACCCACCCAGTGGCTCTGCAGAATAAAAGGTGATCTGCTTTGGTAGAGATTATAGCATCTGGGTCATTTTTTGATACTCTGCCTTTTGAACCTCATTATTTAGTAAATCAGTGTCTTTTCTTCCCTTCTACATAAACCATTGTTGGTTTTTGTTGCCCTTATGTTTGTGGTTTATTTGTCTTTGGCCTTATCAAACTTTTCTTATTCTGTCTTCAGGAGGTTAAATCTGTCATATAAAACAAAATGTCCACAAACAGAGTATCTTGTTTTGTTTTCAAAGGATGCAAAGTGTTGTAAACCGACTGTCCAACTTACTGAAACCAGGGGGAATGTTGTTATTTCGGGACTATGGAAGATATGATAAGACTCAACTTCGTTTTAAAAAGGGTAATATTATATTTAGCTTTGGGATTGTTACTTTCATGTGTTTTAAAGCATGACTTGTTTATAGTTCATGTCAAGCTTTTTTTTTTTTTTCAGAAGGAGTACTAAGTTTCTCTTTCACTGTTATTTCTATTGTAGGGTGTTGTTTATCTGAAAATTTTTATGTTCGTGGAGATGGTACCAGAGCATATTTCTTCACAAAAGGTACGTTTACCTATAAGAGGAAGTAATTAGCTGTTAAAACTCTGGTTACTATTTGCAAGAAGAAATTCAAAAGCTGTAAAAATGAGGCATCAGTGGTTGGTTAAACATCAGATGTTTTCACAGTTCGGTGCCTGTGACTGTTTTAGGTAAAAGCTTGAAAATGGGCTTTTTACCTTTTACTCTTTCTCCATTGAAAGTGCTTCAAGAGTCACTTGTTTCATAACCCAAGTGAAGGTATACTCTGTTCCAGTTTAGAGGCACTATTAGCCCAGGTATGAAAAAATTTGATGACATGACATAGCCAAAGGCTGTGATTTTATGAGTCCATTGAAAATTACTTCTCTTTTTCAGTTCCTCATTTTAAAAAAGCATTTCTGACAGTACCAAATGAATCCTGCACTTATTTCTCTAAACTTATGTGAATACTTTTGTAATGTACCATTTTGGGTCCCTATAAATCAAGAAAAATTCAAAAAGGAGGCACTATTCAAAATATTACAAGCTGCAATCAATAGTGTTATATATCTGTTTATGCCTACTGAGTTACCCTGTTTACACTTAGTATATTTGTGTGAAGGATAAGAAAGCAGGTTTCTTTCACCAGTTTGTACTAAAGACATTTTCTTAGAATAAATGAAATTGAAATGTTCAGTCATTCCATCAGTGTTCCATTGTTCCTTGCCCCCTCCCTCATGTCTAGTCACGTGTCATATCTTTTGTCTCACAGGGGAAGTCCGCAGTATGTTCTGCAAGGCTGGGCTGGATGAGAAGCAAAATCTGGTTGATCGTCGCTTACAAGTTAATAGGAAAAAACAAGTGAAAATGCAGCGAGTGTGGGTTCAAGGCAAATTCCAGAAACCATTGCACTTGACTCAAAATAACTCCAAATTGTTGTTTTCAGTCCTTTCTGATGACTGAATTACATACTAGGTTAAGATAAAGAAAACAGATGACTACACTATTGAAAGACTTCTGCAAAACTTTCATTTCTCAAAAGACAATCAAAAGAAAAGAAGAGAATTTGTATATCCTACTGTTTTTATCATGGGTGAGCTCTTTTGTGCATTTTAAGTACATGTTTCATTATTTGGAAGAGTGCGTTGTATTCTGTATTTTCAAAACTCAGAACACATGATATGCCCAAGCTTGTTTGTGTTTATTATGTCTAACCATTTTGTTTGTTCTTTGAATTGTTTAAGCATTCAGTTAAATTATTGATGTATGTCAGATAATTTTAAGAAACCTTAACTTCCTTTTTTTTTAAAGTAAAAAAAAAAATCATCTGCTTTATTTATACATTAGGCTTAGTAAGTTGGTTCACAAACACAGTGCAACTGTTGTCCATTGTCATCTGACAATAGAGAAGCAATATGCCTTGTTTCCAGGGAAAGCTCAAGACCAAAGTATATTGTTTGTTGTTTGTCTATTGTGGTAGTTAAGGTTGTTGTCAACTTGGTTGGGCCTGGTTGAGTGGCTGGGCAGCTGGAAGTAGTTATTCCCCATGTTGAGATTGGTAGTTAACTCCGTGTGGAATCTGCTGGAGCAGTTGAGTAGCTGCTTTAGAGATGTAGTCTGCTTCCTGTATATAAGAAGCGGCTTTGAGGAAGGTCTCTAGCTTTTTGGCACACTTGAACTCTGCATGTAGCCAAGTCTTCATTCAGTAACCTGCCATGCTCAGCCAATCTTGGGACTTTCATTGGACTTGAATTAATGGCCTGCTGTGCTTTGGTAACATTGGGAACTGTGCCTTTTTACTTGTCAACCTTGGGTTTATCAGCCTCAGCAGCCAGCAGCTGCCTGAGTGAAGAAAGCCTCTAGCTTCAGTGGGCTGAGATCTAGAGGCAGAGCTGAAGCCAAGGTCAAGGGACTTTCACCCAGCCCCTAGAGCCTGGCACTTTGAACTCGGACTTCTAGCCTCCAAACTGTAAGAGAATAAACTCCTGTTTATTAAAGCTGTCTCATTTGTGGTATTTCTGTTAGAGTGGCACTAGTTAACCAAAATATCTATTTTCCCCAAACTTTTTTTTTTTAATTTTAATTCAGAGACTATGTCTGAAATAAAATTTTAGTTTCTCTTTCCTTTCCTAAAATTGGGGAAGTGTGGCCCATGATAATATTATTTTCAAGCTATTCTTAGATGTATAAGTTGTTGCAAGTTTTCTTTAAGACCACTATCATACTCAAGAAAATGCTTAAATTGTACTTGAAAATTTATTTATCACCTTGCCTCAAAAAGGATATAAGTTTGCTTGCAAATTATACTATGTAAAAATGGACTTTCTAAGACTGTTCTTCATTTATTATACAGATATCTACTAAACACTTACATTGTGCTCAGTTACGTGGAATAACACAGTAAAAACCCAGTCTGCTTCTTTAGGATGCATGCATAAGGTCTAGCTGGCAAAGCAAAACATGTACATCCCAAACCTTTAACTCATAATCTAAGATAATATACAAACAAGTGCAGGGAGCTTATAACCAAATGTGGGGACTTTGGTTATAAGCTGCAGAAATCTGGAACAAATGGACAATATCTTGAAAGGACCACCATTGGGATACTTAAGTCCCAACTGTTTTTCTTTTTTGAATTCATTTAAGATTCAATTTCCTAGAAGGGTATGATTGGTCCAACTTGAGTCATGGATTCATCTCTTGACAGGCAGGGCAGGGCAGTTTAACTGATGGTGCCACTGGACCCTATGGAATGGAGGAACGTTTTCAAAGGTAAATCAAGGCACTGTTATCAAACAACACATCTTATAGCAATGATACTAGTAAACTAGGTGACATCAAGTCGATTCCAACTCATGACAATGCCATGTGTGTCAGAGTAGAACTGTACTCATAGGGTTTTCAGTAGCTGAGCTCTGGTGGTGTAGTGCCTAAGGCATTTGACTGCTAACCACTATTTGGAAGGAAGGTTGGCCAATCTTCTTCCGTAGTGATACCCCCTCAGAAACCCAAGGAGGGCTCACTTTGAGTCGGATCAACAGCAGTGAGTTTGGTTTTTTTGGTTTGGAGATAGCGATAGTAACAGTAGTTCCAAAGTGAGAGAGAAAGAGCATTTGTGAGAGGGAATGGGGAAGAATCAGGCTTCTGGGAGAAGGTGGGTCTCAGGCTGGTCCTCCTTGGACGTACATTCTCAAAAGATGGTGAGAAGACCAATCTGTCTGGAGTGGAACATTCATGATGCGAAACAGTGGAGAAAAATGGGGAGGGGTCAGCTTGTAGACAGCTTTGAATAATGACTAAGACGTTGAGTTCTAGTCTCTAGGCTGGAGCCATCTGAGGTTTGTTTATTTCTGTTTTAACCTAGACATGAGATGTTACAAATGTCCTTGGAGAACCTGATTTAGGAGTAATGTAGAATGGAAATGAGTGATCAGAAACCACATAAGGGTTTATGTAATAACTTGCCTTAGTGACAAGTCCTCAGAAATACAAGATCAAGGTTTCTGTTTAAACATGCAAAAGTCAGTAAATGTAAAAGTTAAAATTTTTCTGAGATTCTTAACTCAGTTCTATTTCATAATTAAAATATACATTTGAAAGCCAAATGAGTAATAAAAAGATTATATACAAGGGCAGTTTAGATAAGTTAATGTTGCTATGGGAACCCCAGAACATCTTCTTGTGTCTCAATTTAAAAATCATGGCCCAAGGTAGTTTTAAAAACAACAGAAGGTAAAATTATTCTCATATTCTCACACATGTAAATTGTACTGTGTCTCTTAGTCCTAAATAGCAGATTCAAGCCAGCCTCTTGACTGGCACGCTAAAATTCAGCTTCATGTATTTCTATAATGTATTACAGCATGTAAGTTAACCTTTAGAAACTTCAAAAATACATCAACCAAATTTGGACTGTGAGACACAAACTGGGCTCTTCTGGGCCCCATCTAGTGTAGGCTTCCTATTCCACATGGCTGTGCAGTAGGGCCATGTCTACCAGCGTGTTCTGCTTCCCAGGCAGTTTCTTTCTCTCTTATCTACCTGAATCAATTCCCTACTTAGGGTTGGCTACTAGAAACAAAATGTTGGCTTTGGCGGAAAAGGAAGAGGGAAAGACCCGATTTGGAATTTTGCCTATAGTATTAAGAAATCATAAAGTGTTCCAAATGTATTTGCGTGGATGTTAGTTTAAAATATTCGATAAGTGCATAAAACTCTCATTCTCCCCTCACATCCAAAAAGCTAGGGCCAGAGTTTGGTATTTAAAAATTCACCTTCCGAGGGAGATGACAGACTAGTTTCTAACAGAAAAAGGTATGTTCCTTCATCCGCTTACAATACAGAAACAATGAAATCCAGTTTATTAAAATTGCACCCTCCATTTTTCCCCATTCTGAAAATTCCCTTTTGAGCGTTGTTCAAATGTGAAACTTCTCACACACATGAAGAACTGTTTCAGAAGATTGTAAGAAAGGTGAGATAACAATTTCTATGAAGAAAAGTTTTGCATTCTGTATGACACATTTGTCATACTGCAACACCCAGTGAATGTTGACTTCTGAGAATTTACTTGCCTTACTTTTCTCAGCTCCATATGCTTTAATCTCTAAATTGTGTACATATCCTGGCTCTACTATTATGTAATCAAAACCAATGCCGTGCTCTAATCTGTATGTGAAAATTCACCCACATGCAAATAGCAGGCCTGCGGGGAGGGGGGGGGGCAAAACATAAAGCCATCCAAACCATTTGGACTGTTAAACTTCAGGTAAGGTAAATCCTTGCCCAAAAACTCCCCTTGCTGTATTCCAATGATTTTCCAATTCATCAAAGCCAAGTTCTGAAGCCTGAATATATCATGCTGTGTTACTTCTAATTGGTTTTAATGTTTGTTATGCTCCTCACAAGTGCAGATAACTTTGTATTTGCATCACTAATAGACTTCACTTTCAAAGCCTCTGCTCCTTCGGCTTCCTGCCTCTATTAGTCATCAGTAGACTACATGTCGACATGGGTATTTTCCCCACTCATGAAAGTGCATTGTAGATTCTAAAGCACTGATTATATGTGAGGCATTGTTATTAATAACAGTGTTGTCGATCTACAAGGCAGTAAACAGAGTACTCCAGCAACAGATACATTTTCAATGGCCTGTGAGACATTGTGAGGAAAGCATTGCCTGGGAGTCAACACAGATCCCAGTTCCTGTTGAGCCACTTAGCCACTCTTAATTTAGCCCTGAGTGCCAAGTGTTTTATATACTACACACATTACTTCACTTGATCTCTAAGCCCTATGACTTAGATTTTATTATAACCATTTAACAGATGAGACTGGGGCCCTGAAATGATGGGAAACTTGTTCAGGATGTCACAGCAAGTGAGTGCCAGAGACAGAACTCAGACCCCAAGCTGTCCGATCCCAAAACCTCTGCTCTCATCACCACACTTGCCATTAATAGGCTCAAATGGTTCTCAGAAAGGTTCTGGAAAAGATAGAGCTCCTAAATCCAGCAGAAAATTCCAGCAATGGATGGGAGTTTGGATCAGACGACCTTCAAGATTAAGGCTCATTCTAGCTTCAGTGATTCTATGAAATAAGTCAGTGGCACTTGTCCACGGTTACAAACTGGGAAGGAAAAGGGAAGGAACAGAGAGGAATGACAAAGCAAAAAGCTTTCAATCAGTTCTTTTCAGCATTATGCATTTGCCTAGTTCTTCTCCCACCCCACCCCCTTCCGGCTTCAGACATTCTCTTTGCATCCCTCTGAGCAGAGTGTTCATCTCTTGCATACTCCTCATTTAAAGGGAAAAAAATACCATTCTGTACTGCTAGGGAAAAAAAGCCCTTAAAATGTCTTCAAAGGGATTCAGCTGTAGCGTAATCTAAGATAGATGAATTCAGGAGGTGTCAATAATAAAATGTGAGTGAAAACATCTTTATTTAAAATATTGTGTGCACAT